GGCGCCCCCGTGTGGTCTGGGAAGAGGCTGCAGGGCGCCCCCGTGTGGTCTGGGAAGAGGCGGGTTCGGGTTTGTTGGCGCTGGGGTCGGGTCAGGCATTCATCAGTGCCGAGTGGGGGAAAGGCTGAAGCTCCATCCCGGGAACCACTCAGGTGGTGGGGGTGGGAGCCCATCTTCATGGAGGCGGCCCGGCCCCTGGGTGACCAGGTTCAGGCCACACTCCCAAGGCTGCTGGGCGTCTTGGGTGCCAGCCCCCACCTCAGCAGGGACACCCCACTCCACCAGCCCTGCTCCACGCAGCCCTCCACGCAGCCTCCAAAACCTCCGGTCTCCAGGGTCACCCTTCGGGAAGCGTCGGCCTCTTCCAAGACAAACCCTCTCCCCTGTGTCATCTCCTCCCCACCCCCAAGTTCAAAGCCACTCCTGCCTCACAGCCAGTCCAGCTGCTCCTCACCGACACAGTGGCCGCGGTGACCCGCGAGGAGTGACACTGAACACTCACCTTGTTCAGGGGCGGAAATGAGGGCAGCGCCGTTGTCCGATGTGAAGAAGACGAAGGTGTTGTCCGCGATGTGCAGGTCGTGGAGAAGCTCCAGCATCTTCCCAACACTGTCATCAATCTCCCGGACGGCATCTCCATACCTGGAGGACGGAGACAAACAGATCAGGCAGCCAGCGGCATATTGGGATTCACGGAGTACGTTAAATCTTAACTTCACAGACAACAGCGAAACTGGCCGGCCTCTTCCCGGAAGAGGAATGGCTTCAGTTCAAGTTTACGTGGCTTATGAAGGACAGAGCCGGCACCCCCACCACAGCCCTCCTCTCCTGATCCCAGGCCAGTGGACGGCTTCAAACGGGGGGGTTGCTCTGGCCTTTCCAAAATAGTCATTCAATGCCACGGTACTGAGTGCCCCATCTCCGGAGTCACCAAGCACAGCTGGGGCCTCCAGCGTGGTCTGTGCTCCTTGGAACCGGGACTCACCGCCCTCGCTGACTGGTGCCCAAGAAGGGTTTGGAGGCGTAGACGGGTGCGTGTGTGGCGTCGACAGCCCAGTAGAGGAAGAAGGGGTGGCGCCGTGCCTGTCTCTTAATGAAGTCCAGGGCTTCCTATGGTGAGAGTCGCACCGTCCTCCTCCAGCCTCAGGCCAACCTCCCCACGCCTCCTGCAGGGCGAGGCTGCTGCGGTCCCGTCCCCCCGCCTCCCGCAGGGCGAGGCTGCTGCGGTCCCGTCCCCCCGCCTCCCGCAGGGCGAGGCTGCTGCGGTCCTGTCCCCCCGCCTCCTGCAGGGCGAGGCTGCTGCGGTCCCGTCCCCCCGCCTCCCGCAGGGCGAGGCTGCTGCGGTCCCCGTCCCCCATCACCTGCAGGTAGATCTGGGTGAGGTTGGCTTCCCCCGTCTTCAGATTAATCGGAAATTCTTCGTAATATCTGAAAAGAACACAGATCCGGACAGACGTCAGAATCTAGGCCAAGAAAGTCCCCTCCTCCCTGACTTCACTGGCAAAGCCACGGGCTTGATGTAAAAGGAGGCTGGGCCGGGCGTCATGGCTCACGCCTGTAACCTCAGCACTTCGGGAGGCCGAGGAAGGTGGATCATGAGGTCAGGAATTTGAGACCAGCCTGGGGAACATGGTGAAACCCCGTCTCTACTAAAACCACAAACATTAGCTGGGCATGGTGGTGTGTGCCTGTAATGCCAGCTACTTGGGAGGATGAGGCAGGAGAATTGCTTAAATCCGGGTGGCGGAGGTTGCAGTGAGCCAAGATTGTGCCCCTGCACTCCAGCCTGGGAGACAGAGCGAGATCCCGCTTCATCGGGGGTTAAAAAAAAAAAAAAAAAAAAAAAGGAAGCCGAAATGGAAATGTCCCAATCAGGAGAACAGACCAAGCGATGCTCCCTCACTCCCCCAGGTCCGTGGCTTGCTCTGCATGACCTGCCACGCCGTGGAAGATGGGAGAACAGGGCCAACGGGCGCGACCACCCAAGCTGAAAGGCAGTAGGTGGCCGTGGTCGCTCGGTGGGCTGGACTGGGCAGGGGGGAACCCACTGCTCAGGCCACTGGGCTCGTCGTGGAAACAGCTGCAGTGCTGGCTGTCCCAAGCCTGCGACTACTGCAAACCACAGAACTGCACACTTCAAATGGGGCTGCGCCGGGGGGACTCCCACACCTCCAAGTAGCTCCTATCTAGAAAAAGGCAGCAAGCTGGTGCCACTTCTGGTCCACCGCCACGTAACCAATGAGCGCTTCCGCCAAGAAGAGTCAAATTAAGCAAAATAAAATTCACAGATGAGGGTCCCTGACTCGGTGCTGCTGTGTCCAGAGGTGCTGTCCCCATGCCCGGGCACCAGGACGGCTCTGTCCGGACAGCGGCTTTTGCTCCTGGTGTGGCTCCCAGTGGGGTTTCGTCCCACCTCCTGTCCTGCCCATGTCCCTGGACGTCTGGAGCACAGCCGGCCTCCCCACCTGTGGACCACATGGGCAGTACCCTGACAGCTAGGACAGACTGTGTGGGCTCACTCTGCTGGGGGCCTTCCTCTCTCAGGACAGCTAAAGGGATCTACGACCTTGAAAAGGTGGGAAACCCCAGGCGTGAGTCTCACAGGCTCTGGGGCAAAACTTGGTGACAGAAGCCCCCAAACCAAAGCCCTCGGTGCCCGGGAACCCAGGGACAGCCCAGCCCTCGTGAGCAGCAGCCTGAGGCCACCAGTGCTAGAGACGGGGGGCAGGCACGCCGGGCGCAGCAGTTCAGGACGTGGGAGGGGAAGGGGTGGGGCTCCATTACCTGCCAACCATCTCCCAGTCCCTGTACACAGGGATGTTGGGCCTGGCCTTGTTGTCATAAGGTCCAAAGTGGCAGTTGGGGGATCCAAACCACTCATCAAATCCGTGCTTCAGGGGGTGGAACTGGGGCCTGTGACCCAGATGCCTGGAAACAGGAACCCAGGACACTTCAGGGACCCCACGTGGGGACACTCTGTAATTCTGAGCAACAGATCCACCAGCTTCACAAAATTCTTGGTAAGATGAGCACGCTCCAGCACTGAGTATAGGCTATGCCTGGGCACGGCAGGGACAAAAGACCAAAGCCTCACCCCGAGGAGGGTGCTGGCACCGCCCGCCTCCCCCACAGAGTGTCTGGGCACAACCAAGGGTGGCAGGCACAGTGGCGGCCGGGGTTCCCAGCACCGTGAAGGGCGGTGCATCGTGAGGAGCCTCTCAGCCGCCTGGAACCCGCCTGACGTGCCCCTCGGGGCCCCGGCTCCTTCCTTCCACTTTTCCTGAACTCCCAGTAAAGTTTCACAGCTTGTGTCTTGAACCCAAGTGCTTCTCCTCTGGGTTTCCCAGGGCAGAAAATATCTCCTGCCAGGTAATTACTGGGTCTCTCCACACTGAGGCACTCAGTCTTGTCTCCTAGTTCAGGGCAACGGTCCCGGGATGACGGCTGGGCGGGGCGTTGTGTGCCGTGCAGGAGCCCTGGGGCCTGCCAGCTGCACCCACATTCCCAGGGCCCTGGCAGAGGCGGGTATTGGAGTGATGACAGGAGAACATGGCAGTGTGGCCACACTGGTGACCTCCACCAACTGCTCTCCTGGGACCAGGGTTAACCTGCTCGGAAAGGCCATCGCCAGGCATCACACCCCAGGCCCGTGGGAACCCTCCAGACCCCGCCCTGCACTCCCCTTCTGACAACCCCCTACAGACCCACACGCGCCTTCCCTCTGGGGGCACCTAATCTCTTGTCCGCCAGTCCACAGCAGTCCTGCAGGCCACACCTCTTCGCCCACTCGCCCCAGTCCCCAGGCCAGCTGTCCGGGTTTCCTTGCACGGCCTCTCTTGTCCTGGAAGGAATCCAGCTTGCGGCTGCTCTTCAGAATGGGCTGCAGGAGAGGTGGTATAAGGTAGTTTCTAGGCACGGCCGTGGGCAGGTCTCACGTCAGTTGCGTGTCATCTGAGGAAAATCTTCTGCAACTACGGCTTTGAAAGCAGCATCCCCGAAGCAGATTTCTGAGCCGCATGTGGGGCTGGCCCTGGTGGAGGGGGCGGGAAGGCCCCAGCCTGAGTGCTCACGGGCGACTCTGCACCCAGCACACAGGTCTCAGGCCACTGTGGATTCACTCGGTCACTGGCTGGGGGAAAGTCAGAAAGGGTCCTGAAGAAAGGCCAGGCTGGAAGGTGGAGGCTGGATGGAACCCAGCCAGCAACAGAGCCTGGACACTGCGTAAGCCCGTCTGTCTGGACCTTGGTTTCCCTGTTGGTGAGCGAGGAGGCTGGCATGGCTGTAGCTGAGGCTCTGGCTGGTTCTGTAGTGGCTGCCTCCCTGGACATGGCCTCTGCACCCAGAACCTCCTGAGCTGCCTCTTCCATCTCCTCTCTCAGGTAAGCACACATGGACCTCTCTGTGACCTCAGAGCTCCTTTGGCTGCCAACTCCGGGCTGTTTCCTTTGGGTCTTCAGCACTTGGGCCCACTGCCAGAGCACCCCATCATCCCTGAACACCTCAGGCAGGTCACCGCCCAGCCACAGGGGTCCTCGTGCGTCCACGTCGCAGGTCACCGCCCAGCCACAGGGGTCCTCGTGTGTCCACGTCGCAGGTCACCGCCCAGCCACAGGGGACACTTGTGCGTCCACGTCCGCATGTCACCGCCCAGCCACGGGGGCACTTGTGCGTCCACGTCGCAGGTCACTGCCCAGCCACGGGGGTCCTCGTGCGTCCACGTCGCAGGTCGCCGCCCAGCCACAGGGGACACTCGTGCATCCACGACTGCAGTGCAAAGGCCTTTCTCAGGGGAAGCACACGGGCAGGGCGCCACACAGATTAAGCTGTCAGCTCAATGTGCTTGTCCCAAAGCAGCAGTGGGGCCTGGCACTCGCCAGCAGGTGACCTGGAGCGGGGAACGTCTGCAGCCCTCTGGGACTCAAGTCCCTGCCCTGCACCCCCGCGTGGCTGCAGGCAGATTAAGCAGCCTCTTTTTGAGTCCAGGCGAGGGGCCACAGGGAAGTCTGAGTGACGGCTGACAACACCCTACTGCCCTGAGAGGGGACCCTGCTGACCCCCCACCTGACTAAGCAGCCACTGCAGGACCCAGCCCGGGCCATCCAGTCACTGCACCATGTCCTGAGCCCGGGAGGAGCCTGTGGCTCTGGGGCCTGCCTGGCTCCTGCTCCTACTCCTCGGGGTCCCCTCTCTCCCGCCGATGGCTGTTCAGGAGCCTCGAGGCCTCTGTGGAGACCCACTCCCTGTCTAGCTCTTGCCACCTGCACCAATGACCATGCACAGGAGGCCGCTGGGCCCAAGACAGAGCTGCCAGGCCAGGTGGAGAGCTCCAGTCACTGTGGGGCTTGTCACTTGGAGAGCACCCGGCGCTCTTCCTTCCTCTTGGCAGGCAGCCGCTGGATCACGCTCCAGTGAAACGCTCGGGGCCGCTGACTTGCCAAAGACCCGGTCCCTGGCACTGGCTCGCGACCCACCGCACGGCCGCGTGGCCGGCACCGGGCCGCGCCCCTCCCGGGCGACCCCCGTGTGTGAGGCACTCCGCGACCCCCTGTGTGAGGCGATCAAGCGACCCCCCTGGTGGAGAGGCCGCACCCCCGTGTGTGAGGCGCGGCCCTCCCCCCCTGTGTGAGGACCCCGCGGCCTCCCCCCCGTGTGAGGACCCCGCGGCCTCCCCCCCTGTGTGAGGACCCCGCGACCCCCCTGTGTGAGGACCCCGCGGCCTCCCCCGTGTGAGGACCCCGCGGCCTCCCTGTGTGAGGACCCCGCGACCCCCGTGTGAGGACTCCGCGGCTGCTGTGTGAGGACCCCGCGGCCCCCCTGTGTGAGGACCCCGCGGCTGCTGTGCCCATCGGCTCCGCCCTGTGATTTCTGAGAGCTCAGCTCGGCAGGCTGCTTCCTCTCGTCTGAAGAGGGATGAAGCGTTCCCTAGGCAGCCTCTGGGTCCTCCTCATCCAATCATCAAGCTCAGCAGATTCCTGGCTGCCATGACCATCCATATCCAAGGAGCATCCACCCGAAAGGGGCCGGCAGGAGCCACAGGCAGCCGACCCGGGATCACAGAGGCTGGAAAGCAGCGAGGGCTTCCTGAAGGAGAAGGCATGCGGCCCGACAGGCGGGGAACACTCCAACAGCTGGAGAGCAGCCCGGGGCAGGTGACTCCACCCAACCCTCCAGGCTCACGCAGGCATCCCAGGGAGGAAAAGAAATGAAACATCCCGTGCGCCTGAAACTGCGGCCTGGGGGCTGTGCGGCACCCGAGCTCTCGCTGGGTTAGGATTTCGTCAGCTGCTGGGCTGTTCCTCTCCTTCCTGGAGGCTCCTTTGTGGTTCAGGCCAGAGCTTTCATCATCCAACAGGCCCCTGGGGCAGACAGGCAGCTCCTCCGCCGGGCTCCTATGTGTGACGACGTGACCCCTCCAAGGACGATGTGGCAAGAGGCAGCCGGGGGCGGTGGTGGCGGATGCTGGGGGCCGTGGGGGCCGTGACGGGAGGGACAGTGACAGGCCTGTGGAGTCTGATGCTGCAAGACACTTGCAGCTGCGGGCCCAGCCTGGTGACCTGAGATCCTGCTGGCAAGGTCATGCTGGCCTGCACAGGGACGCTGGAGACACCTGAACACACCCAGAATCAGCTTCCGTTTCCCACCCAAGACGCCTTCCTCGTTGGAAACTTGTGGCCACGTCCCTTGGAACCAAGGCCGGGAAGTGGGTGGAGCAGGATGCCCGGGCAGGCATGGACAGACACTCACCACTTGCCGATGATCTTGCTGACGTAGCCGGCCTCCTTCAGAAGCTCCGGGAGGAGCTGCTCCGAGTCTGGGATACCGCCCACAATTTCCTGCGGCGTGTAGGCTGGAAGGGCAGCGCTGGGTGAGCCCCGAGGAGACCCCGAGAAGCTGCCACCACCCCCATCCTAACAGGACACTGGGGGCTGCGTCCACACATCCTAATAGAACACTGGCCCCTCCGGCTCAAAGGCTGGGCCTGGGGACTGTGCATCTACAGGGCATGGAACTTCCCAGATTTTTCCAGGCACCCCTCAGAGCCAGTGCCATCACCAGAGGGCGGGCATGGAGCAGACTCTGTGCCCCCCAGCGCCTTCCCTGGGCCTCCTGCCCTCAGGCCCTATCCTGCCTCTTAGGCCAGCCTCCCGCCTGCATGATCTCCAGGGGTCTCTGGAATACGCCACAGGACGCTTCACTGCCCCACCCCTGCCTCCCCTGTCCTTCCCTTTCCTCAAAGGCCACTGGAAATCCCACTTCCCCTATGAGATGCCCCTGGGGAGCCCATCCAAACCCGAGCACAGCAATTCCAGAACATTCCAGAACTGCTGCTGACACCACAGCCCCAGTTTCTCTGTAAGTGTGCGGCTCACCTGCCTGGCGAGTGGGAGCTTCTGGGGTGGGGGTGCCGGCCCAGCTCCTTAGGCCAGACTGGGTACCCTCTGCTCCGTCCCCACTGGGCCGGGGCAGGGAAGGAAACCAGCTAGGGGGAGCCCTCATTTCCACCTGAGTCCCGGAGACCCGGGCACCACCCGGACCCCACCTGCCCAACCCTGTACCCCAAGGTGGACCCTGGAGGCGGCGGCAGGCAGCCTACCGTTTCTGGCATGGGCGTTGGTGGTGTAGAAGCCATTGCGGATGGGCAGCCGTCCCGTGAGCAGTGCCGCCCTGGCTATGAGGAGGTGACAGAAACAGAAACTGGATGAGAAGGGTGCAGCTCAGGCCGGGCGCGGTGGCTCAAGCCTATAATCCCAGCACTTTGGGAGGCCGAGACGGGTGGATCACGAGGTCAGGAGATCAAGACCATCCTGGCTAACACGGTGAAACCCCATCTCTACTAAAAAATACAAAAAACAACTAGCCATGCGTGGTGGCGGGTGCCTGTAGTCCCAGCTGCTTGGGAGGCTGAGGCAGGAGAATGGCCTGAACCCGGGAGGCAGAGCTTGCAGTGAGCTGAGATCCGGCCACTGCACTCCAGCCTGGGCGACAGAGCGAGACTCCGTCTCAAAAAAAAAAAAAAAAGAAGGGTGCAGCTCAGACCCACACGCCTGTCAGCAAGAGCCCCACCAGTAGGCAGACGCGTGACAGATGAGGCAGACGCAGGTTTATGAGGGGCTACCACGCCGGTCGATCCCTGTTAGCATCTGCACCACCTGGGTGGGGCACAGCACCCAATACACTGAAAGACATGCGGCCCTTGGGCCCTGCAGCTCAGCATTGTCCCCAAGACGCTGTCTCCTCTCCCAGGCTCCCGGGACACCCACTGGGTGCGCAGGTCCGCACGCCTCCATCCTCGAGAGCCAGCCCGTACCCTGCCTTCCCTTCTTCCTCACGATCAATACCACGTGTGTCGTCTCCAGTAGGAGAGACTCTCCCCGGGGAGGGAGCAAGCGGGACCCCCACTTCCCCGGTACCCTGAGACGGAGCCACACTGCAGCGCCTCTCCCCAGGCGGCCACAGCACTCGACTCTGGGAAACAGAGGACAGCAGCCACCAACACCACAACTTTGACCCTGAAAACCCAGCAGGTGCCACACCCCACACAGCACGGAGCCGGGCCGGGACCCGATGAGAAGGGCCTGAGCCCACCTGCCACCCTCCCTGCAGTAGTAGGAGTAGACAAGGTTGATGTGGCCGCCCAGAGTCACGGCTGGAAGGACCTGGGAGGCCTCGGCCTGCTGGGCTCGCCCGTTTCTGGGGATGAGGGCCCCGCTGACTTACATGGTGAGCACAGAGGGTTGGCAGAATAGAAGTTTGGGAAAAGCATCCCTTCTGCAGCCATCCGGTCCAAATTCGGGGTCTCTCTGGAGGGCTCTCCGTACACCCCGAGGTCGCCCCATCCCATCTGCAGGGAAGAGCATGCGGAGGAGGAATGAGCACCTTCTGCAGCTGCTGCTGGCCTGGGGAGCTGTCCGTGGCGCCAAGAGCGTGTCGGGGACTGCGGGAGCCAGCGCCGCCCGGTGCCCCAGCCAGCGGCAGAGCTTGGCTAAACCCCAGCAGCGCCTGCGTGTGTGCACAACGGGGCCACTCCACGGTCAGCCCACGCTGCTTTCATCTCCACTTCTGCTTGGTCCTCACGTGGGGAACGCGTCCGTCTGCCTCCTCCCAGTCCTCACGTGGGGAACGCGTCCGTCTGCCTCCTCCCAGCCTGACACCAGCATCTGCATGCTCGCGGGGAGATGGCCTCTAACACGTGCATCTCTTCTCAACATACACACACAGGCCCTCGTATGTCTGTACAAACCTAGATTTCAAAGTTGAGCGGTAACTGTCCCCCAAAAGCCTAGTTGCCGTGTGGCCCTGCAGTTCCACGCTGCAATTCCACTCCTAGCTGTACACCTGAGAGACTGAAACTTACGTCCACACAGACCTGCACACGAGCGTCCAGGGCAGCACGACTCAGTGGCCAAAAGGCAGGAGCACCCCAAGCGCCCATCGGTGGACGACAAAGTGTGGCCCGTGTGTACTACAAGGGTGTGGCTACATTTGGAAGTAGGATCTTTGCAGATGTAGCGATCTAAGATGAGGTCACGCTGGACCAGCGTGGGCCCTCAATCCTGTGACTGGGAGTTAGAGATGCAGATGTGCAGTAGAGATGCCGGGTGAAGGCCGAGGCCAACACTGGAGCGGTGCAGCCACCAGCCAGGGGACAGCAAGGGCCCTCCTCGAGAGACTCAGACGGGGGAGCCTGGCTGACACCTTGATTGTGCACTTCTGGCCTCCAGAATCCAGCAAGAATCCATTTCTGCTGTCTGAGGCAACCCGGCCTGTGGTAACGTGTTATGTCTGGGGAAACTCATGCACGTACCACGGCACACCACCCAGCCATCAAAAGGAAGGGCGTCCCGCACGGTGCACGGCCCTGGAAAGCTTCACGTGAGGGAAGGAAGCAGACACCAGGGCCACACAGGCTGGGATTTGCTCATGGGAAGCCTCTGGAACAGGCCGGTCCGCAGAGGCAGGAGGTGGCTGAGGGGCTGCCGGGGCTGGGGGTGGGTGCTGGGGAGGGCTTGCTGCTGGGTATGGGTTTCTTCTTGGGACGGAATGTTCGGAAGTAGGTAGAAGGGATGGAAGTACCATGCTGTGAACGTACTGCGTGCCCAAGTGGCGCACTTCAAGGTGGCTGTCATGGTCAATTTGTCGTTCTGTTTTTTACAATAAAAGGCCCAAGCAGGAGGACGGGTGAGCACAGGGCAGGAGGCACGGAGGCGGGGTGATGCCGGGGTGATGGCGCCAGCACAGCAAATGCCCACGGCAAACTCCGGGGGTGAGTGGCAGGGCCGGTGTTCACCGAAAAATTCTTCTAACTTCTCAGTGCGTATTGTTGAAAAAAGTGCTTTTAAACAAGCAGTGCGCCCGGACTTTGCTCTAGGAGGAGGGGAGGGCACCACCTGGGGCTGTGGCTCTCCTCGGATCCTCCAGCCGTCTCCCTGGGCGCCCACCTCAGCAGGAGCCTGGTGGAAGCCACCACCGCGAGGCCCCTCCGCCTGGCCTGTCTTCCTTCCCTAAGGACACATTCCCGCCTAAGGTGCTCCAGGCACCAACCAAGACATCAGTTAAGTGCCTGTGCCTGCCTGGGCCCCTGCCCTCTACAGGCCACCTGCAGTAGCTTCGGCAGCACAAACACACACCACCTGGGAAGGACACCGCATTCTAAACACAATGACCACGTTCATGGGCCCAGCTCTGCTGCATTCACCACCACGTTCTCAGGACCAGCTGTATATTTATTTTTGAAACCAATTTGAATGCAAATATAGATATTTAGAGCTGCCATCAGCAAACACATTATGTAAAGGGCCTCACAGCAAATCTTTTCAGCTTTGTGGGCCATATGGGGCTGTCACAGCCCCTCAGCTCTGCCACAGCCAGTATTCGAGCAGACGTGCATGCTGTGTGCCAATAAAACTTTATTCATCAACATCTGAATTTCATATAATTTTTCATGTCACAAAATATTATTCTTTCAGTTTTTTTGAACAATTTAAAATTATAAAACCCATTCCTGGCTTATGGGTTCAAAAAACAGCAGGTGGTGAGCCAGAAGCAGTGGCTCACATTTGAAATCCCAGGACTTTGGGAGGCCGAGGCGGACAAGATCACGAGGTCAGGAGATCGAGACCATCCTGGCTAACACGGTGAAACCCCCTCTCTACTAAAAATACAAAAATTTAGCCGGGCGAGGTGGCGGGCGCCTGTAGTCCCAGCTACTCAGGAGGCTGAGACAGGAGAATCACTTCAACCCAGCAGGCGGAGCTTGCAGTGAGCCGAGATTGTGCCACTACACTCCAGCCTGGGCGACAGAGCGAGACTCCGTCTCAACAACAACAAAAGCTCGGCAGGTGGGTCCACATTTGACCCATGGGCTGCAGTTGGCCAACCTTTTAGTGAAAGTGCAGCTACCCTACCTTAAAAGGCAATCATGGGGCTGGGCGCGGTGGCTCACGCCTGTAATCCTAGTACTTTGGGAGGCCGAGGCAGGCGGATCACAAGGTTAGGGTTTGAGACCAGCCTGGCCAACATGAAGAAACCCCATCTCTACTAAAATTACAAAAATTAGCTGGGCATGGTGGCGGGCACCTGTACCAGCTACTTGGGAGGCTGAGGCAGAAGAATTGCTTCAACCCAGGAGGCGAAGGTTGCAGTGAGCCAAGATTGCGCCCCTGCACTACAGCCTGCGTGACAGAGCAAGACTCTGTCAAAAAAAAAAGACATGAATCACTTAAAGCCAGGAGTTCGAGACCAGCCTGGACAACACAGCAAGACTCCACCTCTGAAAAAAGAAAAAATAGCCAGGTGTGGTGATGTGCACCTGTGGTCCCAACTACTCAGGAGGCTGGGGGAGGAGGATTACTTCACGCCAGGAGGTTGAGGTTGCAGTGAGCCATGATCACACCACTGTACTCCAGCCTGGGCAACAGGGTGAGACCCTGTCACTAAAACAAAACGAAACAAAACAAAAGATCATGGCCCAGCAATTCCACTTGTAACAGTTTATCCTAAGGAAATAATTATGGCTATAACCCATTACACAAATTTAAAATTGTGGGTGAGATAGTGGGAACAACAGATTTAGTTAAATAAGTCACAGTTCATCAGTGTTAATGGGTGGAACTGAATCCCCAAAAGTTATACTGAAATATCGGCCCCAGCGTATCTCAGAACATGACCTTAGAAACAGGGTTGCTGCAGATATGATTAAGACGAGGTCATTAATGTGGGGGCAGACCCTCATCCCATACAACTGCAGTCCTTATAGGAGACAGGGCGAAGGCGGCTGTGTGGCAACAGGGTCACAGGTGGGAGACACACAGCCATGGGCTCGGGATGGCTGGGGGCCCCCAGAAGCTGCAGGGGAAAGAGGGTCCCTTGCAGGTCTCCGAGGGAGTGAGGTCCTACCCACAACTTGATCTCAGACTTCCAGTCTCCAGACCAAGGGAGAATTCATTTCTGGTTCTTTGTTTTTTGTTTTGTTTTTTTTTTTTAGACGAAGTCTTGCTCTTGTCCCCCAGGCTGGAGTGCAGTGGCGCGATCTCGGCTCACTGCAATCCCCGCCTCCCAGGTTCAGGCGATTCTCCTGCTACAGCCTCCTGAGTAGCTGGGATTACAGGCACCCTCCACCATACTCGGCTAATTTTTGTGGTTTTTTTTGTAGAGATGGGGTTTTGCCATGTTGGCTAGGCTGGTCTCAAACTCCTGTCCTCAGGCGATTTGTATGCCTCGGCCTCCCAAAGTGCCGGGGTTACCGGTGTGAGCGCCGCGCCCGGTCGTGCTTCTGTTTCTGTTAAGCTCCCGACTCCTGTGTGTGGTCCCAGGAGGCTCCTGGGATGGGTGAGATGGGGGTGTGGCCAGGGGGTCACTGAGAAGCCCACTTGGTGTGAAAAGACATTCACCACACCTGGTTGTGTGGACGCCTGTGGACACACCTGGATGGCAGGGAGGGGAAACCTCTTAGTAAAGCCAGTCTCTGCAGCCCAGCCACGTCCAGGAGCTGAAGCCTTCAGGAGGAACGCAAACAGCTCCACCTGCAGCTCTGAAGTGCGTTAGAACCTACACCTATGGTTCTTTTTTTAAATTTCTAAAATACTTTTCTCTTTCGTCCACCAGCCTGGGCAACAAGGTGAGACCCCATCTCTATAAAAAATAAAAAAATTAGCCGGGCATGGTGGCAGGCACCTGTAATCTCAGCTACTTGGGAGGCTGAGGCAGGAGAATCCCCTGAGCTCGGGAGGCAGAGGTTGCAGTGAGCTGAGACTGCACCACCGCACTCCAGCCTGGGCGACAGTGTGAGACCCTGTCTCAAAAAAAAAACAAAAAAAACCCAAAAAAACTGCCACTTTTCTCCAAATTCGCCTCATCCAGCCTCCTCCGGCCACGAGTGGCCCTGGGACTCACCCACAGAGCAGGACTGCCACCTGCATGGACAGCAGGGACCTCGAGGAGGGCGGTACCTGGAGGCCGAGTGGGTCTCACCTGCCCATCTAGGCCTTTGTCAAGTTTCCACCATTTCAAACGACCCCAAGACAGGCTCCATGGGCCCTGGTGCTCAAAGAGCCGGAGAGAGGCTCACTTTGGTGACTACAATTCACCACGACAGGGACCAAACAGAGTCTGATCGTTGATTGTCTAAGTACTTTGGGAGGCCGAGGCAGGCGGATCACAAGGTTAGGGTTTGAGACCAGCCTGGCCAACATGAAGAAACCCCATCTCTACTAAAAATACAAAAATTAGCTGGGCACAGTAGTGGGAGCCTGTAGTCCCAGCTACTCGGGAGGCTGAGGCAGGAGAATGGCGTAAACCCGGGAGGCGGAGCTTGCAGTGAGCTGAGATCCGGCCATCGCAGTC